AACTAGGGAGGAACGTAAAACCATGTATTCGCAATTGAACCCTGGTTCCGAGAGCCAGTAGAAGGCAAATGCCTTCGACCCAGTAAAGACATCTAGAATACACTAAATTCGAGCACAAGCATAATCGGTCGAATAGGGGAAAGATCGGTAGAGAGAACAGCGAATCACATCTTTGGTGTAATATCGTGCTTATTATAGTTAGAACTCTTATTGTCATTATTGTTGCTATTTGGATACTGCTGCTTAGGTGGAGGAAGTCTCGCAGGAAAACGGTTATCCCGAGGACGCTTGAAGCCCTGACGACTTGGGGTTGAGGGTGAGAGACGACGAGAAGAAGAAGAACTAGCCCAAGGTTTGTCAGAGGGACTATCCCCTCCTAGATATGAGGACCTAGCAGAACGTGGCGTGCCCATCGACAAGTTGGCAGCCTCAGAAGCTTTGGCCGACCACAAGTCGAGATTCCGGTAGCAATCAGCTAGTGTCCGAGATCCACCGCGACATGCATCTTCAATAGCCATACGGATAGCTCGGTCAACCGCAATGGCAACCGACCAATTGTACTCGGTTGCATACCATAAGATCTTGTGGAAGTATTGAAGAAGATCGAGAATCATCACATTGTCAATAGGTTGACCTTCGAGCTCGACGTTGGCGAGGCAAGCATTGGGGATGTCGACACTGTTCCCGAGCGAGCCATCTTTCAGATGGAGTGCTTCCTGTACGGACAATAGAGCGATGGCGAACCACCAAAACGCTCGGGACCATTTAGCAGTAAGATTACGTTCCCGCTGCTGTTTGGCTCCATTTTGTGGCGTAGATGTGGACTTGATTAAAACTGGGCGGTCCTCCAAGTCTTCAGCAAGGACGCCGTCGGCCGCGTTCGACGAAAGCTCCGATGTCTGCGACATGAACTTGTTAAAGTCGACGAACGTGGTCATATTCAACCATAAGCAGTCGAACATTTTCTGCGGGGGGACCAAACTTGCCGGTAGGCCGCTGCAACCAAGCTTCGTCGCCAACAACTTCATAGATGAGGTCAGCAGTTTAGATTGCCGCCGCTTCTGAGCAGTAGATTTGCCAAGCAACGGAGTGGAAGACTCACTGACGTCCCTCTTA